TTGTTGTTGTTGTTGTTGTTGTTGTTTTAAAAAAAAAAAAAAAAAAAGGCCAAGAACACAGCTCAGTAGAATAAGCACTTCCCTGGCAAGCGCAAGAGCCTGAGTTCAATCCCCTGTTCCACAAACAAACAAAAAAAGAAAGAAAGAAAGAAAGAAAGAAAGAAAGAAAGAAAGAAAGAAAAGAAAGAAAGCAAGCTTTAATACCATTAAAGTGTTTTTTTCTTTTCAAATTAAAGAATATATGCACTTTTTTAAAACCCGCGAAATAGTGCGTCCGTGAAAGTCGAACCGTGAAACAGCGCGGGCCGCGGCACTCATTCCATCGCGCTCCCACGCAACGCTCACTGTGCAAGCGTGAGTCCTGCTGAAACGTGAGCGAGCGCTTGCGGAGGATTTCAGCACAGTCTCACTCTGACGTCCGCCCGCAGGACGCCAGCTGCCTGGCAGAGAGACTGCAACAGACTCACGGAGACCAACACCAGCGCGCCCTCCAGAGGCTCGCGCTGAGAACCCTCACCTATGCCCGAGGCCGGCGTGAAGGCACGGATTCTGTTCACAGCAGCGACGTCCAGGGCCTGGAAATACCTGAACGAGGGCTGGCCCGTCTCCCAGACGAAAACATCGGCTGAGCTCTCAGCTCCTACGGCAGCAGCGGAATAAACCAGATCATCAAATCAAAGGCATAGAAACAGAATGACAAAATTACACAGTGAAGCCATAACAAAGTATTAAACAAATTTCTCCAGAATGAAGGGCCTGAGTTCAGTCCCCAGTTCCGCCAGAATCCAGTCAATTTAACCAAACTGCGACACAGAAAGACTGCAGAAGTCTCTCAGCATTACTACACTAAGTGTACACATTACGGTCATTTAAAAAAATATTGAGGACAAAATGTTTTATTTTTTAAGACTGCCGGGATTTTATCTATGAAAATTTCACTAAGAAGAATTTTATATTCAGAGGATATTGCACAACAATCTTATGAAAGCTGCTAAACACTATTCATCAGTACCCTAAATTGCCCGTGACCTCCCAGGAATACCTATATAAAAAGCTGCACGCCTGCGCTTTGGGTCTAACAGCGCCACAGACACTCCCACTTGATTCACTCATTACTGATTTTATTTCACTGTAACTTTAAAATGGCAGTTGAGAACACCACAGTATGACAGACAAGTTTTCATTTTTTCCAAAATCAATTTATAACTGCCAATTACTATTAATCCACCAAGAAAGAGTCTACAGATTATCTTTAAAAATATTACCAGAGCATTTTTGTATGAAACATACAGTATAAGCGCTAGGCGACTTTTATACTAATTATAGAGGCACTAGAAATGTGGAATCTTCTCACCTACAGAGACATTTTTGGCGAAAATTAAGTAAATATCATTGTCCAAAGACAGAGCCTCTAGGTGTGCCGAGCCGGTGACAGGAACCTCTTGCGAGGAGACGAACGCACCACCGGACCACCTGAACACGAGGGCCGGGAGCTGGGGGTCGGCCTGTGCCATGGCCAGGAACGCCGAGCCGCCTCTGGCGAATGGGGCCGCGGCCAGCACCCCTTGCACGGGGAGCTTCTGGTGTGGCGCGAAGCTTCCTCCACGCCACCTGAAGACCTGCAGGAAATGGGCACAGACGGCGTGTGAGGCTGGGGACCTCAACTGTAAGTGCGCCAGTGTCAGAGGCGCTCTCTCCTGGGTCCTTTTCTTTAGTGAGGACACGTTCATAAGTAGGAGCAGAGGTGGGTGGTGGGATGAAGAGAGTGAAGACGCACGGCGTCCCTGAACCCGCTCCCCAAGAGGCCTCACTCATCGTGTCCTGCAAACATGGACCAATAAAAATAAAAAGTTTTGAAAGAATGAAAAGCGAAGGCCATAAGGGGCCTTTCATGAGGTGACCCAACAATTTATCATTCAAATAGGGGCCCTTGCAAGAGTGAAACATAATCATGAATAATAGTCCCAAGACAACAGGCATGATGCGATATTCTCCTTGCCAATGAGAAATATGGTTATACTACATACAGCCTGCACTAAAGAACTAAAAATTCATAGTAACTATAACTGGAAATCATAGGATAGTTTTAAAGTAAGGAATAACAAATCAATATTTAAAAAAAAATTGTTCCCATTATTCAACGGTGAGTGGAGATGAGAGGAGGCAGTTAGACCTTGGCTTACGGGCTGCACTGAGGCACCCCTGAGCATGGGGGGGGGGACAGACAGAGCAGCACTCCCCAGATATCGTGAGACACATGATCCAAAGCAGTGACAAATTAGAAGTGACAAAATGAAATGGAGGAATCAAGCAAGGTTGTATCACAGAATTCTTTCTTCAGCAATTGCACTTCTGGGGTTACTAATTCCTGAGACAAACGCAGACACCAAAATACATGTTCCAGAGAGAAAATGAGAAGGTCAGCTCAAGGCATGCTCAGCATTACACGGAAGGTACATATGAGTGGATACGCCAGTCGGGAACACCCGGGGGAAGCCAGGGCCAGCACCCGAAAGTCGTGAGTCTGTAGCTGATACGCAAAGCCACAGCACTGAGAACATGAGCCAGAACAAATGAAGAGAGAAAAATGAAATCTAAACTCAAAATGAATTCTAGAGAACCCTAAGATTGCCCACTTCAGAAAACAGAGAAGAAGCTGGCAAAGGAAGCTGAGAGGATGACACACGTGTGCCCTCTGCATGAGAGAGGGGACAATCAGGGCGAGGAGTGGCAGCTGTCAACGGCACCTGCCGATGTGAAGCAGCACAAGATGGGGACAGACACAGCCTCCTGTCTCGGCAATCCCACTGTCACTGGGAGCCTGAGGAGGTGAGGACAAAGTAAGACCTCCACAGAAGGAGAAGAGAGATGAAGTGGAGACTCAGGGGTGACATGAGCGGGCGGGGGGGGGGGCTTCTGTAAAGCTGCACAACTCTCAAGTGCTCATGCCAATGGCCACACTGCCAGCCGGAAAGAAATGCCTATGAAGGACGGGAACAGAAGCCTTGGGAGGGCATGAGGGGACCCCAGAAGAGGGCAGGCTTCACCAGAAGTGGGCTCCGCCATCACAGCCTGAGGGAGCACCAGGCCAGGATTCAAGAGGGAGTTTTAATTCGGTGTTGGGAAGACAAGCACAGAGGCCTGAGCGGCAGCCATCATCCAGCAGCCATCACAGGGACTGCCAGGTGGGGTCAGTGTCCAAGAGAGACGTGGAACTTCTAGGGAGACAGCAGGTGCCCGGTGGCGATGTCAATCAAGGCTTTAGGGCGAAGCGCTTGTTTAGCGGGTGACTCTTCTCCGTGAGGTAATCCACCTCAGTTACACTCTAATGAAGTGTTCACGATGGTAACATTTGCTCTAACTCTTGAAGAAAACATACTATTCACAGCTCTGTTGTTAAAAACTTAACTGTGACCAATCAGTGTTCACGTTCTCCTCGACTCTTCTGCTACAATCAAAGCATGGCTCTCTTTTGTATAAAATCTACAGGCCACATCTAATATGTTTCAATGATAGTATTTTTTTAAAGAGGGGGAAATATATAGTTTTAAAAGAATCAAACCTGAGTGAATTTGGAATCATCTCTTTGACTTGAAATAATTAAATAGTCTTGGTTGTCTGCAGTGAAATATCTTACTTGAGAACTTTCCGAAACAATAATTGTTTGAACCTGCAAGGAAGAGTAAAAGTTAGCGTAAAGAAGATTTTAACTGAGAAAGACAGTAACCATATTAACTGTAAGAATATTTAAAGACTTGGGGCTGTGAAGATAGCTCAGGGGTCTAAGCACCGGCTAACAGAACTGCAAGGAGCCAGGTTCAATCCCTGGTACCATATGCCCTGCTGGCCCCGCCCCCGGATGTGCTGAGCTGGCCACCAAGACTGGGCGAGGTGGTGCACGTCTGTAATCCCAGCCCTGGGGAGACTGAAAACAGGAGGATCACTACGAGTTGGAGCTGTGTAGTGAGGCTCTGTACCAAATATATCAAATAAAAAAATAAAAAATGTTTACAAAAGTTTAAGACTTAAAGAATTACTGGATCTAAGTTCATTTCAAGAAAACAATACCCCCGAGTGAAGGCTCTTTGCTACAACGAATACCAATTTTTTAAAAATTCCTTTGCCACCATAAAATAAAACATACACTATTTTCCCTTTTGATTAATCTTACAAATCTGAATTTTTTAAGTAAAGCAATCTTTGGAAAAACACAAAAAAATTTTTTACCAGGAGTAATTTCAATCCAGATGTTAACGTATACACACTATTAGCAGAAGGCGTTTCTCCATTTTTTTCTTCATGAGTGATTACAAAGTAGGGGGAAAGAGCAATATGAAAGGCTTCGCACATTGTAGGATTTTCTATATTTACCTCCTAGAAATCAAGAAACAACAACAATAATAATTTATGCTGCACCCAAAATTAACCAGAATATTTTGTTTTGTGTACAATAAAATAATGATGTTTACCTGAAGTGGAATAAAAATCCCTTGCCATCGATAAAGAGTAAATGACGATTTTCTTAACATTATACCATATACCGAACCTTCCAAAGTAAAGAAACACCAGCCAGAAGTTGACTCATTCAAAAAACTTTGAACTACTGACAAAACAGCATCCATTCCTCCTAAAAAACATAAATAACAAATTACCATTATAGAACCAGTGCCAAACCTTATCTGCTGGAATATTTAAAAATAATAACTAAAAATAATGATTTTTAAAACACAAATATATTAATCCTTTACTCTGAATCCATATAGACTTTTCTGAGGTATTCTTAAAAATAAATACTAAAAAACAGGGAGAAAGGAAATCTGCTAACCATGATTTTACCAAATTTCATAAAGGCGATGAAAACACAAGTTGAGAAATTTTTTAGTAAAACACGTCCCTGACAGAAACGTGTACAATGTCCAATACGTACAACCTACGCTACCATTCTGAAACCCTGCCTACCCAGTCATTTCTCATTTTACATTCTATGTATTTTAAGAATGCCAATGCAAAATTTTATCAAGCTGTTGATCAAGTCCTAAAATTGTCTACAAAAAAGAGCAAAAAGCAGAAAACTGCTATGCAATTGAAAGCAACTACAACAGAGTTTCTGTGACCTATTATTGTGACTATTTTCCAAAAACAGTACGTTCTTTCCGAACTCTGGCCAGTGGTGTGAACGAGATCTGACATGATCAAATGTCGTGGCTGAAAGCCAGGCTTCTCGTAAGCGACTGATGACAGTTAGGGGACCATTTCAGGAAGGCACAAGGGCAACGCTTCAGGGCAGCATCCTGCAGCGATCTCCTTTCCTAAGGGCCCAACCTTGAGAATTCCCAGTTTGCCACTTTCTCAGAAGTCTTCAATGACCCTGATGTGGGCCCAAATCCTTCTCCACAGTAACTCAGGAAGACAAATAAATAAAGACTAAATAACCCTGACACGTGAGACTCTCCCTTCTCACAAGAACTTCCAATGAGCACGTGCAGAGGCCGAGCAGAAATGAGAGAACTGAGTCAGAACCCGTAACCTCCCTTGCTCGCCTTCTAGGCCCCCATAGTGCCATTGTCCCCTTCACCTCTAGATACTCCCTTTCCTACCAGCACTGGTACACTCTTGCTTGGATCTCTCCAAACAAAAGCAAACCCAGCCTCTCAATCCTACACACCACCACCTTCTGTGGTCCTACCTCCCCAGCTAAACTTCTTGAAATGGCCGAGGAGTTCCCTCATTGCCACTCCACGTGTTACTATCTTGCTATACAAATGGCGCTTGCTATGGTCACTGACGCTTTCTGTGGGGCTAACTACCACGGTCATACTTCTGGGTCCTCATCCTATTGGACTCCTGGTCAGCAGATGACACAGTGCATCTCCCCTTCCACATGAACGCATTCTTCTGCTGACGTCTGCAGTCGCAGATTCTCCTGGGCTTCTCAGCCTCCTCTGCGAGGTCATCAGGCCACTCAGCTCCTATCCATCTTCTGATGTGGAGTGACCCTCCATGCGACAGTAGAGCAGGAAACCTAGCAGTCAGCCTGCCTCTCCCTCCCTTCACCTCCATATGTGGCACATCACGGCCTGAGCTGCCATCGTCTTTCGCCTTTTTGACGATCTTCCTGGATCCTCTCCCCTCTTCTTCTCTCCCCTCCCCTCTTCTCTGTACCAGTCAATTCTTCATGGCATTATGAATAACATCAAATGCAAACCTCATTATATAACTCCTCGCCCTCCTCTATTCCTGTACCACTGAAAGACTTAGTGGGAGAAAGTTCCATCTTTTAACCTCAGGTTAAAGCCTGGTGTCCACCCAAGTTTCTCAGGCTCTTCGGGCAGCAGGTCTGCCATAGCCAAGCGAGCTCAGAGCTCTCCCTCCTCTATGCCACTGTCCGATCTGGATTCCACTTACGCCATGAGTCTCCTGTGTCACCAGCTCCCTGGTCTCATCCCCAGGGTCCTGAGGCCCAGTCCTTTGCACACTCAGTCCCCACCTGCCATCCTGGTGCTCACAGCACTCACAGCTTCCCCTTTAGAGCACTGATTATAGTCTGGTGACACTGACTTTTGCATATTTGATTATTTTCTGGTAGCTGCTGAATTCTAAGATCGATGAACTTTGCACCACGCTTCGCACATGGCAAGCACTCAATAAATACATGTGAGGGTCGGCCAGATAGCTCAGTGGATTAAAGCACCTGCAAGCAGACCCAGGGGCCAGGGGTTCCATCCCCAGGCCTGCCGTGCCAGCCCCGCCCTGGGGCATGCTGGGATGACCATTGAGACTGGGCGTGGTGCATGAGCCTGTAATCCCAGCTCTTGGGAGGCTGTAAACAGGCGGATCACTACAAGTCTGATCTAGTAGTGAGACCCTGAACACTCTGTAGGCCCTTCCCTAAAATATAGAATAAATAAATATATGTGGACCCAACAATAGGACTAGACAGCCGTTCTCTACTTGCTATGAGCTTGTGAAACTCAGTCCCTGAAAGTAACATGCATCTTACACAAGCGGTATTTCTTAGACACTTTTGCTCACGTAGGAAAGGAAACGTACTCATGCCGAACGCTGTCTCAGACACTGTCTCCCACTGCACACTCACGGCTAGGTCAATGCCATTAGTCCGGGACACGTTTAAGTACACAGTCCTGTTGGCTTCTTCGGTGTTAACAGAGGTGGCTCTAAAAGGTGAAACAAATGGATTATGGAAAGCAGAAAAAAGAACAATTTACATATTTTTAAAGATACACATTTGCTGGCACATGTTTGATACATTACTAAATTTATGCAACTTAAGTAACATCCACAAATTTTAAGTATTGGAGAGACCAGATTCTACTATTAAAAACTTATTCATTTATGGCATTTTCTAAAAAGTCCAAATGCAGTATCCTCAGGGTATAATCTTCAGAAAACACTGAGAATTAGAAACTTCACACCCCAATAAAGAAGTAAAACTATCATTTCTAAATTTCTTAATACTTAAATCAGAAACATCTGCCTGGAGAAAAATGAATCAAGAAATTCTTAGTAATCTAACAAAAGTCCATCTGTTGAAGTGTTTTAAAATATAAAATATAAACATGTGTAGCTCTCAGAGGAAGTCTTAGAACTCAGACGTGCTGCAGTGGAAGAGTCACTCATTTGGCTTGAGCACCTAAACACATTTTGTATTTCTTGATTTTCATTATTTTAAAAAACACAAACTAGTTCAGACCTTCCCTAGAAAGGCTGAGAATACAAAATTTTTAATCACAGCTTATACCAGGCAGCTTTAGCTTGGATGCTCCCAGTCATGAGAGAGAGCTTCCAGCCTCTGACTCGAGCTCTCAGGGGTCATTTTAAAAGCCCTTTGTTGGCCAGCTAGGGTAGCACATGCATAAAATCGCAGCACTCGGGAGGCTGAGGCAGGAGGACTGCCATGAGTTCAAGGCCAGCCTGGACTACACAGTGAGACCCTGTCTCAAACAAACAAATAAGCAAACAAAATCCCTTTTCAAATAATCAGACATTTTCTAGGCCCAAAAAACATTCTCTACCTAGTTTCCAAAGTGAACTCCTTAATAATAAACTGTACCTATTTTCAACAGCAGAGATACTGAACAGCCCCAGAGGGGCCTGGTTTTGCAGAACCGTGATCAGGGTTTGAACGTGCGCCCCTAGTCTAGCACCTCCAGTTGGGTTAAACAAGGTGCAGACAAAGTGCTCATCCATTTCTGGTTCCGCGTCTAATACGGCAGATATGTGTAGGGCCTGAAAGTGAGATCAGAAGATACAGTTACCAGGACACAGTTTCCAACACAGAGAACTTCATTAAACATCCAACAACAAAATAGTATGTCTTCAGCAATACCACCTCGGTTCTGCTAATAACCCCCATAACGTGACAGCTATAATTGTTTTAAGGTACTGGCTTACACATTTTCAAATCAGTGCTAAATTGCAATGAACGGTCTAAAAAGTAACTATTTTAAGCATTTAAAAATAACACTCATTAAAAGACTGAATTCACATCTGCATTTTTTGTGAGCTTGTTGCGCTGCCCTGAATGTGCAGCTCTGTTCGGCCCATTCTAAGCGAGGGGTCAGTGCTGAAGCGCAGTAACAGGGTGGCAGGGATAATCGGAGGCGACCCAGAGCCTCACCAGTGGAGGATGGAACAGCAAACTGGAATACTGAAACTCTGCCCAGCAATGAAAGGGAAAGAAACCACTGACATGCGTGACCATGAGGGAAAGGAAGCAAACCCATAGGAGCAGAGACGATGGCTCAGCT